ATGAACAAAATTCTCAAATTAATGGATTTGAATGCACTAACCAATTTATTCAACAACCTCCTTTCGTTGGTCCTAACTATATCGAATCTATTCATCAACTTTCTCATTATGGACCTATTCAGCAACCTCAAAATATGAATAGACATATTCAACCACTTATTTTTAATGGACCTTGGCACTCTCGTGTTTACAGACCTGAACAATTTTCCTAGCACCCTTGTATTAACAGACCAGTTCAACTTCCACAAATTACTGAGATTAACAATGTTAGTAATGAAAATTATATTCCAGCTAAGCCTAATCCGCAAATTCAACACCATCAAGCCACCATTAGAAATTATCAGATTCAACCCCCATTGACTCCTGTGCAAGCCAATATTCAAATTAATAACCTCCAAAGACAACCATCATTCATATTTCAACCTCAAATGCCTCAAATGTAACTGTCTAGCCCTTACAAGAGTTTAAAAATTGTAATTGTCTTGTTTGTAGTCTTTTAAAAAATCAATGTTTTCAAAGTATTGGCGATGAAAATTGTGTTACACAAAATGAACAAAATGAAGAAGTAAATGTGAATAATGCAATAGTTATCATCAATAATAATAATCCTCAAGACTCTCAAAACTCAAAGAAATTGAAATACATTGTTTTTACTTTTATTATTATTTGCGTAGTTTTATTTTTAGGATTGATTTTTTTTAACAATAATATCACAATTTTATCTGCTGTCTTTGCCAATAACAGAACCTTTTTCTTGAATTTAAGGTTGGTGGGGCAATTAGTTGCAGTTATAAGTACTGCTATTAGTTTTTTTAAATTTTACACTATTGGCAAATAATACTTGATATTCACTTTTTGCAGTTTGGTTTTCTTTATATTTAACAACATTTTAAGCTTTTGATAATAAAATCTACTTTGTCTTGATGTTAATAATGCGAGTTTGTTACTTACAGTAATAAAAGATTTATTAGATTTTGAACCAAAAAAATTATAAAGGTGTTTTTGTTTACTTTATCTGTTAT